AGGAAATTAATCATTCTGCATTCGGTGCAGGACCTGGCAGATATGCAATAAAGAAAAACTGGAGATACATTAAATATGAAGATTTTAGATTTTAGCCATTACCAGCAGAAATAATATCTCCTGAATGAGCATAATCCGCCTTAGGCATTAAATGTTTGACATGTTCTCATTCAATACAAAGGAAAAAGTTCTGATTAATGTGGTGAGATTACAGCAAGTACCAGCCAGATAATCTACGCAAAATATAGAATATGATCATGTAATTAAAGTCTATTATAAATATATGTTCCAGGACTAGTACTTCCTCATTTCCACATGCTTAATTTTGCAACTAAACAACACTACTGTAGTGGAGCAATCACTAGCAAATGTACAATATCTCAGCCCCCACAGCTCTAGGGGAGTCATGTGTTGTTAACATAGTAAATCAATCCATGTTTCACATCGCAGCTGCTGGACTTGGACTGCTTCTGTAATCAAGCTACCTGGTTTTACAGCTAGCTCAAGAGAGTTAGGATAACAAAGACATGACAAAAACAGGCTTAACACTGGCAACAAACCTGCAGGGTCACAGCTAGCTCAGATACCTGCACTAACATTGCAACTCTAAACTACTGATTTTATTTTACTGTATGTAAGTTCAGTTTTGCACTCTCAGTCACTTAAGTTACGCTTTATCTTACCCCATCAGCTCAAATCTGAAGCCAGACGTCAACTTTCTCCTCTGTTGATCAGTAGGTATGGCTGCTATAGAGAAAGGAAGCATAGAAAGGACTCTAGGATGTATCCCTGGGTTGGAAAAGGTCTATCAAAGCTGCTTTCTACTGTACTTCAGAAATTGGGAAAAGAGGTAAGAAGGCTCCATGCATTCCTGTCCAGAAAAATGAGGTATGTGCTAGAATTATCCGACTGGCAGAAGCAGTCTCAACAGCTGTGCTGAGATGCAGCAGTTCTGTAACATACCACATTCCTATAAAAAACACCCAACAAACAACAACAACAACAACAAAACACTGCATGAGACAATATGGATGATCAAGTTGAGTTCTTCAAGCAACCACTATGTCACTGTGGTGAGACTGAGACTTTTACCTGGGCTACTTCAGGGGCACGCTACCTGAGATGGGGAGTGAGGTAGGTATGGGCTAAGAAGCTGCAGCATCCCTAAAGGTTCCTGGCCAGTATATCAACAGGTACATCCTGGGCCTGGCACCCAAATTATCCCACACAGCACGGGGGCACAGCTAAGGGTTTTTGATGATCAAGTCTGCTGAAAAGGAAGGCAAGGCTCTTCCATCATCTTTGTGCAATAGCAACTGTCCCTCACATTTAGCAGGACAGTCCACTGCACGGAGACAGTCTGACTCGGACACACAATCTGCTTTGGAAAGAAGAGATGAGGTCATGCTCACCCAGCAAGGTGAAGGCAGACTCAGGAACACCTGCAACTCCCTAAGCCCCACGAGCTATGTAAGTGCTTTCTTTCCATGCTACTGCCCATGGTTTGGGCTCCAAGCATATTTTTTGCTTAGGAACAATCTGCTCAGTTTATTAGCTGGTGAACCAAAGAGTAGTGCATGGACTCTCTCCTGCCTAATACAGACAGACTCCCAAGTGGGAGTTTGGGTCTGTTCCACTAAATATATTCTGCTTCTCCGTCTTGAGAAGCTTGACAACCTGGTTGAACTACCTTTCCCACAAAAGGAACATTTTTAACAAAAACCTATGTGGCATGCTTTCTAAGGCAAATCTGACTAGTTGCAAGGAAAGTAAATGAATCTATTAATAACATGTCCAAATGATGATAAACAGTTCCCTTTCAGAGATCAATTCTGACTGACTTCAGAAGATGCAGGTGGCCAGTCCCTCACAAACAAAGGCATTTATTATTTTACTACCAAAATCTTCCACATCAGCATAGCAAAGCTTAATGACATGTTTGTCCGCAGCTAAGACAAAGGTAACAGTAATATTTTTTTTCTCCAACAGATGTGAAAAAGGCTAATACAGGTAGGTTTTCCTTTTACTGTGCTACTAATATTACTGAACTAATGGAAACTGGGGTAGTCTTTTTTTAAGGTAGCCTACCTGTTAGCTTCTCTTCGACACAAGCAGAACATAGCATGAATCTTCTGTTCATACAAGGTCTGTTCATTTCAACATAAAATTAAGACAACTAAATCTGGGTGTATGTTGAACCTAAATGATCTCTATTCAGGAAAACAGAGACAAATACCGATTCACCCAGCCTTCCTGGAGATAAAACATAAATGCCAAAACTAAATGCATATGAAAGATTTCATGACAAATCTGCCAACCAACACAATAATCATCAGGATCTTCTAACAAAAATACCCGAATTTCTAGAAGTGAGCAAATAAAAAAATGTAATGTTAAAAAAATCATAGTGAGAAGATCAAGAAGTTATAATATTGATCTTTGAAAAAGGTCAACGATCCATACAATTAAAGGGTTCAAATATAATGACAGCAAAGCTCACAAGAATTACTATATAAAAGCCACTTCCTCCAATTCTTCGTATCACAGAGTACTCAAATATATTAATCACTTAATTTGAATAATCTAACATTTCCTGTATTAGAAATCAAACAAGACATTACGGAAACTAACAGCGAGACCTAGACAGGCTGGAGAGTTGATCAGGGAGAAACCTGATGAAATTCAACAAGGGCAAATGTAGAGTCTTGCATCTGGGAAGAACAACCCCATGTACCAGTACAGGCAGGAGGCTGACCTGCTGGAGAGCAGTGCAGGAGAAAAGTACCTGGGGGTCCTGGTGAACAGGAGGATGACTATGAGCCAGCAATGGGCCCTTGTGGCCAAGAAGACCAATGGCATCCTGGGGTGTATTAGAAAGGGTGTGGTTAGTAGGTCAAGGGAGTTTCTCCTCCCACTCTATTCTGCCTTCTTGAGGCCTCATCTGGAATATTGTGTCCAGTTCTGGGGCTCTCAGTTCAAGAAGGACAGGGAACTGCTTGAAAGAGTCCAGTGCAGAGCCACAAAGATGATTAAGGGAGTGGAATATTTCCCTTATGAGGAAAGGCTGAGGGAGCTGGGTCTCATTAGCTTGGAGAAGAGGAGACTGAGGGGTGGCCTCATCCATGTTTACAGATATGTTAAGGGCAAGTGCCAGGAGGACGGAGCCAGGCTTTTTTCAGTGATGTTTAGTGATAGGACAAGGGGCAATGGGTGCAAACTGGAGCATAGGAGGTTCCATGTAAACATCAGAAAAAAAACTTTTTTACTGTGAGTGTGACAGAGCACTGGAACAGGCTGCCCAGAGAGGTTGTGGAGTCTCCTTTGCTGGAGACATTCAAAACCCACCTGGACACGTTCCTGTGTGATGTGCTCTAGGTGATCCTGCTCTGGCAGGGGGGCTTGGACTAGATGATCTTTTGAGGTCCCTTCCAACCCCTAAGATTCTGTGATTCTGTGAAACTGAAGCTAGTAAAATAGTAAAAGCCTGTGTTCTATTTGCTTGCTTGTTCAAAAAGCTCAAAAGTCTGATAAATTCCCACATAAATTGAAGGAAGTGTTAACGACAAACACTGCTCCCTTTACTAGCTAAATTTTTTGCTCACCTTTTTTTTGAAAGGGGATGGGTTTTGGTATTTTTTGTTCTCAATAAATACAGATAAAATGTCTATTGCCAGGTACATCAATATAAATGTATCAGCTATAGCTCTCATCTCCAATGACTCATGGAAACTTGGAACATTAGAAAAAGTGGTTTCTTTTCCCTGTGCTTCTAAGACAGTTTCACTGACATTGATATAAAATACCTACCTCTTTTTCAAAACACAATTCCTTGCTTCACAGATGTCTGACAAAGCTGATGTAGTCTTACTGGTTATGAAAGGATTGATATCATTTCTGGTTATGTAACAGAAATAATCAAAGCCCTGAAACAGGCAGTGTTGTGAATTGACAAGTGTCTGTAGTCATTACATTTAAATAACATGTCAGTCTTGATCAAAATAGGAGCTCTTTAAGGGACCAGGACTTCCATTATTAAGGTTCGTTTATTTGCCCAGTGAGGAGATTACAAAGAGTTTATGCAAATTGATTTTTGTTGGAAAAGGGTGTTCTTTATTCTTTACCATAAACAGATATTATGTTAGTGTGCTGCTACACACAGCAGCTGCTTTGCTTAATTAGTTTTTTAGAATTCCCTTTGTGTTCCATATAGTAACCTTTGTCAAAAAATATCACCAAAGTATATAGGTTCTTTTTGCTGCTTGAAAAATTTATCCCACCTTTAAAATAATTTTTGTCATATTATATAGATAATTAACATTATTATTCAAGAAAAATGTGTTTAAGACTGCTAATTTCTAATTTCTTTCAGAATTTCTTCAAGTTTCTCTATTTTTTCACACAGTTTTACATAAAACAAGTTTAGTCACATAGTGCCAGTGTGTAAACCCTCTTTGGATGGGGATTTTAAGCCACAAAACGATGATTAGGAAAGCAGGTACCTAAGAAACACACACAGCACAGATAACCTTGTCAGTTAGCTAAATTTGATTGACTGTCTGTTTTCCAGTGCTTTAGAATCATCAGTACCACAGACATGATATTTTATTTGTGAAGGACCAGGTATTCACGGATCGTGACATTATTTATTTACCTCAAAAGAGGAAACTATCATGTCCCACAAGGTATGACAGTAGTCTGTCGGGTTACAGTACCTACGATAGAATGCTATAGTGAGTTTAAACATCTATTTAATCATGTAAACATCTATTTAATCACTGTGTCACCTTTTAAACTGCTCGCAAACTGCAGACATCAACTACAGGAACAGTTTCAGATCTTTCATAACTACCAACCAGAGAAAGCTGAAGGATTATAGGGTAAGAGTTCTAAACCAATAATGTGCATTTTATATATATAATTTGAGTCTGCCTTTTAAGTAAAAAGAATCTTATGTAGCAGTCAATGATGTAACAACAGTTACGCAATAACCTTGGTCTTACCCTTTGTTTTCAAGTCGTTCAATACCTTTGATTCCATGGGCAGTATATCACTCACTAGTTTTATCTCAATATTTTGGGATGCCAGTTCCAGCAGTTTTTCAAAAAGACGCTGACCCTGGGAAGAACATGAAAAGAAAGCAGCACTTGTAAGACACAAATTTGTTCAAAAAGTGTATAAAAAAATTTAAGACACATGTTGAAACGAAGATATATGGCGCAACAGCTGCATAAATATGTTCCTAGATATGGTTAAATCTATCCTAAAGGTAGCAACCCAAACAAACAGCAAGTCAAGGAGTGTTTTTACCTCACATTCACCATGCATTCTCATGTCAGCAGTTGTGTTTGTTTTTAAGGAGAAGGGGGGCAGATGTTACCAGAGGTAAAGAATGAGATAACAGCATGGAGGGGTTGGATGGTGCACACAAAGTTTTGCGGCAGCTCTGTCATGATCCTGGGATAACAGAGGGACACTGACCCTGGGTGCCTGGTCCCCACCTGAGAGTCTGTCTCCTGCAATTGCTGTGGACCAGCACTGCTAGATTCTAACCAAAACTGGGACCTACAATACTGTGCTGTTACCTGCTCTGTTCCCAGTCCATGTCCTGCCTCCCAGCTCCCCTGGGCTGACAGGCTTCTGACATGCCAAAGCTCAGGCAGCTGTTTGCCCCACTTCTTTGGGGTTCACTAACTGGACACATCACCAGTTCTGAGTTTCATCTTACCTTTGCAAAAAGCAAGCGGGAACTATTAAGGACTAAAAGGCTGTGTGACAGTAATTAATTATCTATAGCTATATCTGTACAATCTTCTCATCAGAAAGGTTCTATGTGTTGATTTAATTTACTAGGTAGAAACACAGAGGCACACAGCTCTTGCTTGGGTTATCTGTAAGAACGGATTTTGAGTAGAAGCATAGGAGCGCCATAGTATACAAAAATGAACAGCTGTAACATACAAAAACAAATATGGAAAAAACACTCATAAATTTGATGAAAAGTTATTTACGATATCAAGATTAATTAATGCATTAACTGTTCTGCTTAGTAAATGCTTAGAAAGTTAATGTCTAAAGCTGAAAAAATAGTCCAAGGGGATGGCTCTACATATTTTTTCCCCAAGATTATTAGCTTTGAACATCATTGCCACTTGACTTCTACCTGCAAATGTTTTTATTTACATAAAATTTATGAAAGCTTTGATAAACAAACCTGGACTTTCTGTTTTAAATTCTGTTTGGACAAAAAAAGAACATGGCAAATTTCCCAAGTTTTACCCGATCTTATTATGCACCATGTGACCAACACAGCAGACCACTTAGCTGCCACTGACAGGCCATGCTGCTAGCTGAATGCCCCATCCTATGGGTGAATACATCACTTGAAGTACAGTCCTCCATTCCAGTCAAGACATCTCTGAAAATACCATCCTTTTCCCATCAAGGACATCACAACCTATGCATTTATAATATATATTTTTGTCCAAATACATTCATAAACCTCAAATTGCTAAAACATGAAAGCTTCCCAAATAGTGATGGTCAAGTCAAGGACTGCACTCACCACAAATACAGGTGATTATACAGGTTTCTATACAGGCATATAAAAAACCACCACCCAGTGCCAAAACTGGAAAGAATTCCCTCCCTCTCATCTCTTTCTGCATTATCCCTCAGCAAGCACTCATATGCTCAAAGCTTAGCCTAGACTCTCGAAACAACTATGAGAAATTCACAATTTATTTTTATAATCTGTATGCACTATACTGCAATAGGTACTAGAAACTCTTCTTTCATTATTGAAGAACCTGACCTTCTTCCCCATTAATGTTAATCTGAAACTCAGTTTCTATTCTCTCTGACATGTTTACTTGCAATTTTACTGTTTTGTTCCACAAAAAGGAAAGAAAGGCAGGACAGAAGGTCTGAATAGTTTTGTCACTGCTGTCAGCATTTTGAAATGCTTCTGTTGAATACAAACCTTCATGCTGTCATTCAGACCACGTTCCCCTTTGCAAGACAACACCAGGCTGCTGTGTGACTACGTGACAATGATCAGAATAATTTCTATATACCTGGCCTATGAGGACTGAGAAACAGTAGCAGCCAAGTGCTTTGAAACTGCAGTATGCTACCTTATACTACATCTGTTTTGACAAATAAAACCACCAGAAATCTGCTTATCCTGATAAAATATTCTCTTACACTTTTCACTGGGCTATTTTAAAAAACCTACCATAAGTGACAAAGTAGGATGTAAAAAGCATTTATCACATGAACAAATTGACATTCTCATGGTATCTGCTAACTACGATACATCTGAAACATCAATCCTAACTGTACCTGTCACAGCCACCCAGTGAATTTTATTTTTTTAAAAATACAGTTATTACCAAAAGGCCCTGAAATTGCCCCCAGAGCAATTTCTTAGCAGTCACTAGGCAGATGGATTCAGCCTGGCTGATTTCCCTTGCCTGCTGTTGTTTTCATCAGCAGGCATTCCTCATTAAAAATAAAACAGAGGAGATATGAACATGAAAATGTTGTATTTATTGAAGTACTCTAAAACTGAATTATTGGGTTCTTCATAAACTTAAGATTCCTACAGTTTAGGCAATACTTAGCTTTTTCTTCCCAGAGAGATAAAACTAGTTACTGCCAGAATTCTTTTCTGAATTTATTCTATATTATTCTACTAATATTTTCAGAAGTTGTCTTATGATCAAGCCTTTGGGTTTATCTATAAAGCATCACCAAAAATCATAGCATGCTGGCAAACCCAATAGAGCACATAAATCAATTTAACTTCTGCCATTTAATGCAGAACAGAGAAATTAAAATGTTCTGAACTTCTTGTAACTAAGTAGGTAGTGAAAAATGAAGGAATGTAAATTTTTGGTATTTGAAAAGTTTAAAAAATTATTTCATTTAAAAAACTTTTAAATTGCTTTGTTATGCCTCAGTCTGTACTAGCTGCACTGGGGAAATGCTATAACCTGAAGACATGTTTTTGTCAAGATGAGCATATGGAAAAGAAAATACACTGCAACATCTATAACTGATTGTAGCTGATTTCTGGTGGTAGCTGTTAGGTTTGGAGAAGTGCTCTTCTTTGTACTTATTTGCATTTTTTAATAGTTGTCAAGGAAGGGTATTTAAGTCCTGGCACTAACATTTGTTCTACCAGAAAAATCACTTAAGAACCTTGGGCAACGTGTCTCAGACTGACACAAGATGCAGTCAGAGGTTGCATTACAAAGCCGGGTAACACATCTCATGTATGTCAGCTGTCAAGGGAAGTGGGAGGCTTCTCCCATCAAGACATTTCAGGAGATGAACAATAGGTAGGTAAATAGAGATAGTCAGAATCATCTATTTTTGTGTGCTCGTTGTAAGAATCTGACGCAGATCATCCAAAGAGCCATCCAGTGAGAACCATGCCATAACTTAGAGCAGTACCAATAAACCATGATGGCATTAACTCTTACCTGTTAAACTTGAAATGAAATTTGTGAGGAAGGACTTGCTGGAACTATAGATGATGCCTTTAATTTAAAGTTTCTAAATGTGAGATGAGCCAGAGGAAACAAACTTTTAGAATAATGAAATTGGCACGATCTTTTGTTCACATCTCCCTTCACTGCAAATGAACTGAAAGCTACCTCAAAAATCATGTTTTCATTGTCCTCTGATGGCAACAGAAGTCACACATTCACATCCCGCAAACATCTCAAAGCCCCTGTGTGACAACTCTCACACTATCCCCCTGAATATTATTATTCTATTATATATAATAATATATTATTATTATTCCCCTGAATGACATCACTAAGTCATCAGAACACAAGGTTTTCTTCTAAATGAGAAAAGCAGGCACAGAAAGCCTACTCAGTATTTTGCCAAACAAATATTTCTCTACTTGATTGCTCAGGCTGTGGAAGCACACACAACACTGCAGCGTCATGTGTTTGCATTTGGGAGACTCCAATTTAACAAGACTCATGAACGCAGAGGGCTGAGCACAGCAGTTGTGACCTGGACAGCTCAGTCAGCAGTTACTTTTTACTTAGTTTTATAACAACAAAACATGAACAAGCAACTGTCAAGGACACTAGGTAATGCATCCACAAACAAAAATGAAGAAAAATGCAGCAAGAAATTCTGCAATTTTATATATGTATATGCATGTGCATATGTATAGATACATTTATGTCCAATATAAGTTTGGGCACAATACGTATACATGTGGATGATACATACATTAGGCATATATGTTTGCCTGTGTATAAAAAAATTACAGAATTTCCTGCTGTATTTTTTATTTCATCTGTATATTGGATATATATGTGTGTGTGCATATATATATATATATATTTTGGAAATTTATTAGATTACAATTATTTAAGCTCTTCTGAATTTTCACTATCACTTATAAGTGGAGAAAGCAGATGTAACAAGACACATTTTCCCTCCTCTCACACGCCAAGCTTTATGTACATTATTTGAGGCAGAGATTTGCTAAGAAAAGCTACATCTTTGCAATTTTTTTTAGCAATTAGACTGGCAAAAAACAGTACAGTGTTTTAGGATGAATAAAAAAAGCTTGACAGAAAGGTCTATACACTGTACAGCCCACATAGCTGTACAAATGAGGAAATGACTGCAATATTAATTACTTTTAAACGGAAGTAATTGCTTTTGTAAGGCTACTAGCAGGCGGAAATAGATCACTATAATAGAATATTATGAAATAAAGTTTCATTTTTCTGGCTTTAACAGTGCATTTGAGGATTAAAGAGCAAATCCAGTTCTTATACATCTCTTCTTCCTTACCATACTCTGAGATTCGGCAGTATCTTTAAGTTTTACTTTGCACGACAAGGTGGATTTGATACCTAACTACTGAAATCCCAATTTTCAGTTTGTTATTTTTGTCCTCTGTTTGGGATTTGTTAGGTTCTGCTGGTTTTGAAGCAAATGATTTGTTTAATTTTTTTCAGACAAAACATTTTTAAAAGATTCATGCACATACCAATTCACGTACATCCGGAAAACATCTAAGGCACTCTCTCTCTCAATACATCTGCTTGAATGACAGTACCCGGGCTTGAAGTTTCTTAGGCAATGCATTTAAATAAAGCTTAGCTTGATAAGTACATTGTGAAAAATAGTATAAATATTTTTATATTGAATAAACGTATTCACTAACTATATTCCAGTATCTATAATCATTCTAAAAGGAAGGGTTTGCATTACGTTTTATATTTGGCTGCTCACCTCAGATTTTCACTCTTAAGTGGACACAGAGCAGATTTATTCTGAAGAAAAGTTAATGTATGTTGTTCAATTAGACAAATGCCTCTTTCAAAAGAAACAGAATGCAGTTCATGACTTGAAAATACAGGCTATTTGCAGTACTATCTATCCTTATTTGCTTAGAATACCAGTCTCTGCCTATTATCTACCAGAAGGCATTTTTTACTACACAGTATCAACAAAACCAAAGAAGAAAGTGAAGAGTTTTTGACATAGTATAATAAAGTTGATTCCTCACAGTTACCCAGCTGTCATTTTTACCCTCTTTCATGTCAGCTGAGCAACTTCTTTCAAGAAATAATCCATTTGGTGGAAAAGAGGACATTCTCTCAGCCTATCAATTCTTAGAAATCTTAGTTTCACAAGTGGTACTAAGTGGAAACCTGCCCCTACCATATTTCTAAGAGGATTGCTCTCAAGAATAAATTGTTTGTTGGCTCAGCATGATTGTAATGCATGTCTGTCTCATTCATTATGATTATTCCTTTTTGCTTTTGTTCTTAATTGCAGGAGTCTCTAAGATCACTCCCTCCCAAGATTCATTTTGAAAAGGTAGGAGAAATCATCTGATACTACATTGTTCTTCATAAGTGTAATCCTACCCATTTGGCTGTGGAATTAATCCACATTTGCTCTTTTACTTCATCAGTTGCATCAAATAGAAAATAATTGTATAGACTTACGGATATTCAAAAGCTATGGAGGTGTTAATATAGGTACAATTTTGCACATTTCCTAAGATTACACAATGACATCCTTTCCTTTCAAATGGAAATGATATGAGTATGTGTCAAATGCGTTATCTAGTTCCAGTGTGCCAACACTCTCAGAAAACTATTGTAATGGCAGGAAAATATTTGTATGAAAATGGTTTTTTTAAACTACCAAAAGAAAAATTGGGTGTACACTGAAACACAGGAGGTTCCACATAAACATCAGAAAAAATTTCTTCACTGTGAGAGTGACAGAGCACTGGAACAGGCTGCCCAGAGAGGTTGTGGAGTCTCCTTCGCTGGAGACATTCAAACCTGACTGGATGGGTTCCTGTGTGATGTGCTCTAGGTGACCTTGCTCTGGCAGGGGAGTTGGACTAGATGATCTTTTGAGGTCCCTTCCAACCCCCTGTGATTCTGTGTGAAATAGGTTTGCAACAGGGAATGGCTGTGGTTCTAACAATTTATTAGTGAAACAAGAACAGATTGTTAAAAGTCCCGTCCCTTTTGTTTGGCTAGAACATACCTGGCATGCTGATGGATGACTGTGATTGAGGTCCCACTGGGAAGATACTATGTCAACAGACTTTTCAGCCATATTAAGTAAATTCATCCAGCCTTGGAAAAGAGACAAATGGGATGGTGCACTGTCTGAATAGTTGATCCCTTCAGGAATATTTTCCACAAGAGCAACCCTGAGAATAGATAAGGAAAAAATAACCACTTAACAAAAGAACTTTTCCTTATTAAAAGCTCCAAGTTCTAAAGAATGTCAGGTTTTGGGCCTGTGATTCAACATCTGCTCCCAGAGGCTGTCAGCAGTGACACCCCACAGCTCTGCATTTGCTGACTGTCATGGTCTGCATTTCCCAAACCAACACAGTGCGGAAATGACCTACTGTTAATGCAGCAAAGTCAATTAAGCTTTTGGAGATTTACAAAATTAGCTTAAACATGGAAAAACTTACTTCTTATAACACTGTGAGAATTATTCTTTACGGTGAGGACAGGAAGAATGAAACTATCTTTTCTTTCTTTGCCACTCTTACCTTTGCATTTAGATTCTTCTCCCTAAGCAATGTGGCAGATGTATACTCTCTCCTATTGTCTCAGGTCTGCTTATACAGCCGATATTTTATTACATTGCAGAATATCTGAATTCTCCCTGTCCAACTGCACTAGCTGCCTATATTTTTTTTTGCTTTTTTTTACCTTTGTAAGGCGCTAACTGAGATCCAATGGTTGTGAAAAGAAGAATGATGCCCTTTTAATTTCCTGTTCTTTTTGGAAATCTCCTTATAATGCTTGCAAATTACATTACATACATTCACGTGGCTCCAAGAAGCTAAAAAAACATTGTAATAAACTGAGAGTCCAAAACATGCTACTCTGCTTCAAGGAAACAATGCATTTCATTCAGCATATTGCCTCATTGCCAGATTTCCTCAAATTGCAGCAGGTAAAGCTTGTCTCTACACTCAGCAGAGGAATATAAAAAAAAAAAGTCAATCAAACAAGCTTCCCCATTCTGTGATTATGTAAAAAGATTAAATTTGCAACTTCTTTAAGTGGCACATTTATAAGTATCCCAAACATTTGCCACTTTTTCTGTGTATCAAACAAACCAAATTTAGGGACACTGTAGTAGGGACTTGAATACTCCTTTTTTATTTTATCCAAGTACCTAAAGTATTTCCAGACTGTTTCTATACCTATTAATAGCACTAATTATGAAATCCAGCAATATATTATTTTAAACTTTTTTTAAAAAGTAAATAATTAATAAAAACTTCTAGCATAAATGAAAACTGCAGAGTCTTTGACTGTTAAAAAACAGATTACTGTAGTATCTTCTATTAATTCAGTTCATCCCACAGGGTCACATCGAAACTTTTACAGATATTTCAGAATATCAAACATGTTTGTGAAGGTAACCCATTAAAAGACTAAAGATTAGTACTAGTAGAAGGGTAAAAAAACAAGGCAGGAATTGTGAAAAAGTAAACCTGTGATAACCATCACATTCTTACTCTTGGCTTGGCAAAAAACTCTCCCCAAACCAAGAATCGCAGCTCCTATTTCATTAAACATTCACGTATGTTTTCTCAACCCCTAAAATGAAGGGGCTCTCTCATCCCCCAACAAGATACATATCACTAAGCTACAGGTACTGATGATGCTCTCCACAATATTCTTTGAACACACTATTTAACATTAAACTTAACTGCATTACAGTAATGGAGTTGTAAGAGTTAGTACTGTAAAATGTTAAAAACGCAACTTGGTTTTTTTAATGTCTTCAAAGTATACTTTATTCTAAAACATTCTACCTACCTTGTTTTCAAACCTGTAAAAATAACTACTGTTGTAAACATTTAGCGCTCTTATTAGTCTATTAGCAATGCCACAATTTCCAAAAGAAACTATATCCTCCTACAGAACTTAATAAAACTTTTGTTAGATTTCTGGCTTAGAAAGCCTGGTTAGTTCTTTTTCAATAGTTAAGATTACTTATCATATTGAGGCTCTTAGCAATGTCCATGTTCCCAGAGCTGTTTTATGGGGAGCTGTAGGATGGCCGCCTTCAAAGAGCAAGAAACTGAAGCACAGAAGATTAAGTAATCTCTACAAAGACATAAAAAAGCTCCCAACAATACAGTAGCAAAGATGAGAAATGAGTTTGTGCTTGTTCATCCTCTTCCATCCCCTACCCAGTCACACATTCTCCTAACACTTTCTTCACACCAAATGATTATTCAAAAAATTATCTATCAAACGTGGTTCTGATTTATTTAAAAGTGCACATCACTATGTTAACACACAAGGTGACTAACACTTCTGAACATTAGAACATTGCCTGACATACACAGTTTACTGGTTAAACCTATGCAAATTAATATACAGAAGTCCACAAAATCTCTGATAGGACTGAATCTGTCACAGTCACTTCCAGTGGCTTGTAGTGGTGTTTCCCATGGGCTGTACTGAACTGCTGTCTCAGTGGAAAGCATTAGCATACCTTCCATTCTTCCTATCTTTGTCTTTAGCAAGTTGAAAGCTGCCAAAATAGTAACACTGTCAGAGTCATGGAGGGCTGAAATGATCTAGAGATCATGCAGCTCAGCTTCCCTTGTCAAAGCAAGGTCAATGACAGCAGGTTCATCAGGACATTGTCCAGGCAGGTTTTTAATATCTCCAATACCTCCAAGACCAAGAGGCTTAACATTATGTTTGAGATGAGGGCCCTGATCCAGCTGAACACATACATGCTTATTTCTGAGGCATTGACTTCCTGTTATTTAGGCCTGACATAGGGGAAAATGCTGTATTTATGTACTACAAAACCAGATTCCTGAAGTTGCTGGAAACTATACCTTAAAGTGTAATGCAGGAAGAGATGTGGCTGTGCGTAATTTTTCTATAGATACATTTGGGTACAAGTACCACCCAGTTATGAAAAAAAGTTGGGCTCTTCCTCCTGTTCCACAGGTTAAAACCACTGACTTATTCAAAGAAAGCAGCAAAGCAAATTTCCTGGGTAACAGGATATTATTTTCCCTCATAAAAGGAGTCTTCTCAGAGATAAGATGTGTCTTGGTAAGGAAGTTTTTCTTGACTGTTGGGCTGAGCTTGCTCTTCACCAGCAGATGAGCTCCCCACTTTTCAATCTGCGTGCCATTCAGTAGGCTATATCTCTAGCACTAAATAAGGGATGTGACTTCACAGCTCCTGCCATTTTATAATTTGGGTTTTCTTATGTAATAGAAGTCAAAATCTTTCCAGTCAGTGAAACAGTAATTCAGAATAGATATTATCTGTTAATATATTTCCTAGTCTTTTGTTTAACCAAATAGCAAGTACTGTGTATTCTTTAGCAGGCAAAGACATTTCATCTAGCTAGGGCACTAATTAACATGTTGCTTTCAGGGTTTAGACCTCCCTTCAATAATTAACTGTATCTGCTTAGAAGTAAAAAAAAAAAAAAGTCAACCTTCAAGTTTCTAAACTGAATCACTTTCCTTTCATAATCTTCCCTCTTTAATTGGCACAACAACAAAGTTCCAGTGCTTAATGAAGGAGAGTTTTGTTAAAACTTCTGTGTAAAAGTTTGAGTTTGCAAGCCCCAATTCCATCCAAGTTATCACTCATTTTTCTTCCAATATGTCACACAAAGAGGTTTTCAAAATATGGCTTAACAAAAACTTCCAGAAGAGAAGGTCACTTACAGACCTTGACATTGTAACATAATATATTCTGCAAAAATGGCATATTAACTAAGCAAAACAGAACACATTTAACATGGTGATTAAAACAGACTTTTTCTTTGCTCAAAATCATTAGCAGGTAACCTTACACCTGTTGGATGAGCTGTCCTTCCCTTCTCCAATCTCCTGGTGCTCTGCGCATTTCATCTGATTAATGCCAACATAGCTTAGCCTCTTCAGGTATGTAGCTGAATGTTCTCAAAACTACTTCACACTGCCTGAGAAACCTGAAAGTAATACTGCATGATTTCTGTGAAGCTACAGAGTGACAAAGGTCAAAGCTGAGATTCAACCTCTTCTAAGCTAACAGAATTTGGTAAGCAGTATAATGGTATTTGATGCCTACCAGAGAATAGACCTACACCTCAATAATAAGACTCTTTTGAGCTCAGCTACATGACTTGTATTTAGCAACTCCAAGTGAATTTTGTCCCATGCTATGGATTCTTCTTCATCTTTGACAGTTCTTTGGTCAGAAAGCAAAGGGGTTTTTTTCTGATCTTGCACCATTTTTTTTTTCTTTGAAGAACAGAGATACTCTTATATTAGCATCTGGGTTAATTAGAATACAAAAGGGGTTAGGGGAGTGAAATTAGGCAAACAAAGGCTATAGGTATGTCCCTTGAGTGAACCATGGACTATTGTTTATTGGCAAAAATGCATGGCTCTGTTGAAAAGAATAACAGGAAAATTGCTTTGATAATTCAAACTTCAAACTGTATTAAAATAAGCTGTAGAACATTATTCACTGCAGTTTGTCTCAATTCAGAGTCATACACTAAAAGAAAATCCAGGTCATATGAACTTGAGTGTTTCTACAATATCTGAATTTACCTACCATAAAAGGGAAGTAACACAATAAGAAAACACTGCAATGATTTGTATTAGTCAATAAAGAAATAAAAGTTGAGCAAAGGCTGTCTTTGTCGTAAGACAAGGGAGAGGAAAAAACAAAACAAACAAAAAAAAAGGAGGACTGAGAAAGATGTATGAGTCCGTCCCCACGCCAAGGTCCTAATTACAGATACCCGCCTGTGACCTTTCTCTTATTCAGAAGCCCTGGAACCACCAAATCCTGTCCTAAATAACTGCAGTTCCTTACAGAGTTCCAGCTCCTATTTTGTTATAACCCCAGAGTCTTAATGTCCATTCAAAACCTACCATCCTTCTCAGATGAGTGCTTTCAACTTAGACTTTCACCATGTCACCTTCTACATCGTATCACTCCCACCACTCTTCTCCTTCAGATCTACTCATTAGCTGTCATGCTTGCCAAGACCAACTTCTCTTTAGCTGCTCAACAGAACCAGAACTTCAGCTCTTTGTTTCTGAAAGTGATTAAGAAACGTCTTCTAGACAGCATATAATTACTATTTCAAAACATGAAGAACAAACTCTTCTGGGTTAAGAAAATTAGTGTCTTAAAAAAA